CAGCAGACAGAAAAAAAGTTGAAAGTGTCCAAAGATTCCTGACGAAAGGCATATTAGGCTATGATCAGCAAATAGAATACCTTGACAGATGTATTCGACTGGACTTAGAACCCTTATGGTTAAGGAGAGTGAAGTGCAATTTATTTCTCTTATTCAAAGTTATAAGAAAGCACTGTAACAGTAACTCGTCTATAACCTGGGCTAATCCTAAATCGTATGGACTACGCAACCATAACTGCCTTCTCAAGGTTAACACCCATAAGCTCACCACTAGAGCTAACTTCTTCACCATTAAATATTGCAAACTTTGGAACCAACTACCCTCTGAGATTAGATCCTGTGAAAGGCCTGACAGTTTCAAAAGGAGCCTAGAAAAACATATTAACATGTCCACCCTAGCCCTTCTAAATGATCTCAACTGCTGGTAGAGTGGTGAAACCATGACATTTCAATATTTAACTACAGACAGTACACTAGTTCCTAGACTAACCTAATAATACTTAGTAATTATGCATGTTCAGTACTTGAAATTAGATTATCATTAAAATACTTAAAATGATTACTTACGCAGCAAATGTTCTCTTAGTTTATCACTCTTATTTCCCTTATAACATTCAGTTTTTGAGCCTAATGTATTCTTTGATAATACGAATTATAACAATGATTACACTCTTATTGTATATAGATTGATTTACTTTACGGCTACCTGTAAGACTCACTAACTTTCTGTAGTATTGTTAACCAAATGCTGAAATTTTGTTGGTTCTGCTAATATCTTTTTATAATATATGTAGACAGGTTACTTTGCAATGTCAAATGTTTACTATATATAAAACTGTCATGATAATTTAGTACACTTGGTCCTGCCAACCGACCTTACCTTCAGTTCATACTACCTATATTGAACCCTAACTATATTGTTCTGCTGAATCTTGTTCCACTATTCACAAAACCTATTCTTGTTATTCTTCAAGGTTTTTGTCTTCTTATAAAGTAATCTGTTCATTAGGACGCATGCATACATATATAATATGTTCATAAAGATGTACGCGGGGACCTATTGGAAGCACTCATTAAGAAAGCTAGGGAGATGGAATATGGGGTACGAACATGTCTGGTACCAAGCAATATATATGCGGTAACCATAATAATCATAGTCTCAGAGCCTAACATCAAAAAAGGTGGGAGGGTGGAGTTAGCTGATCAGTAGATATGGTGGTGGACACTAAGGTGAATCGCCCCATTCTGCAGGAACAGCATCAAAAAATTTGAAGGCTCGAGATATTTCTGGTTTTTATGAGGGCTTAAATCTTTATCTTGAAAAAGATAACAATGAACGCCTTGACAGATCATGCTTCTACCTTTAAATATATACCATTCACCCAGCCTATTGTTGAGATGCGACCATGTGGGATCTGCTCAGATTTATGGGGCATCTTATAAATTAACTTGCTGTCTATCGTCAGATCTTTTCATACCACTCCACAATGTCTTATCTCATTTATTTTCTGACAACGTCTTTACTTGATCCTCATTTTACTCCATTAAACTTAACATCTTATAGCTCTTCATTACTTATTATACTCCTACTCTCTGAAGGGTACGGTTGTGCACTAAATGC